GCACATCAAGCACGAGTCCCATCCTGTAAAATTAGACCGAGCCTCGAGCCCGACCAACATATGTGCTCAAGTGAGGGGTGCCTCATGTGCCGATGCAAGCAAAGTGCAAAGTGCGCCACCAAATGCTCTCGTATGCTCATGCACCTACACTGACACCTTTGTTCTATGAACATAAAATATAAGAATAGCTACACATATATACCACTCAATCCTCACTTTTTCTTCAATGTGGGGACTAAAACTCACATAATTCTCTCTCAAGGCCAATTGAAACTTAGGACAACTACAATAAAACCTTATGCTATTTTAAATACACACAAATATTTTCCAAAACAAAAATACTAACAGGTTCGATCTTGATTACATTTATGTTACAACCAAGGTTTGAAAAAATGGATTGGTGATTCAGATCGTCCATCCCAAAAATTGGGTCGGATTGGTGGATCGACAATCTAGATCGGAGGATTGGCGAGATCCGGTATTAAAATAATTTCAAAAACTAACTACAAAATCTTTTGGTTTTTAGGTTAAAAAAATAGTTATATTGTATTATAAATTTAAATTATTTTTATAGAAAATACATCAGTATTGAGAACATGTTTTATGTCTTAGTGTTTGTTATCCATTACATTCATTTTATAGTCAAATGAAAATTTAAAATGCAACTCATTGCAATAAAATGAATATCTTTTAACTCAAATTTATAGTAAAAAAAGAAGAAGTGTAGAATAGTTTTGGACCTTTTGATTTAATATAAAGAAAACAAATGTATGACCCTCTCAAAAAAATAGATCTAATGTTTGATAATTATTATGGACAAAATCTGGCATTTAAAAACATTAACTTGCAATCATGTTTTAATAACGATCTAGAATAATAGATAAAGCAACTTGAAAATAGATTCTGAAGTGGGTATGTAGAGCTAAAGGATCTCCATGAGGTAGTGTTAATGTTTTCTTTTAAAATATCTACTGAGTTAGTACTTTTTTCTTTTAAAATATCCCATAATTTTTTTTTCTTTTTAAATATCCCATGAGCTTTTTTTTATTTTATAACATTCTAAAGAACATCCCATGTTTTATTAGCCGGATTTTATTCACGCAATCACGATAATATACATTTTATTAGCCAGATTTTATTCAACCAAACACAATGATATGCTTGATACGACTGGGGAAATTTTATCCCACATCAAACTTTTATGTAAGCAAATGCCCGTATGAAAGGCCATAACTCAACTTGTATGTGTGGAGGTTCCATGCATGAGGTTGTGCATTAATGGGTACACATTTATGGTTACTTCCTCTTTGAAGTAAGAAATATGTGTTAGGCTACCACCCCACATTTTAAATTTTTTTTGTTCTCAACATATGAGTGGAATCAGATCAAGTTCAATAGTTTTTTATCTAGATTGAGCGATTTCATTTCAGATCAGCAAATAATTCTACCTTTCACGTAATCAGATCAAGTTCAATCATATGAGTGGAATCAGATAAAGTTCAATAGTTTTTTATCAAGATTGGATAATTTCATTTCAGATCGGCAAATAATTCTACCTTTCACGTAATCAGATCAAGTTAAATAGTTTTTGATTTAGATTGGGCAATTTCATTTCAGATCAACAAATAATTCTACCTTTCACGTTCAATTTATATTGTTGCTATACTACACCCAACATATAAAGAAAGGATTTCAACAGCCGTGGTATCAAACCCATATATTGGAAATGAATTTGATCCAGGAATAACGATAGGGTTGAAATTGAAAGGTTACCAAATTACAAGATTGTATGACTCAGAGTTGGGTTGACCAATCTTAGATTGAGCGATTTCATTTTAGATCAGCAAATAATTTTACCTTTCATGTAATCAGATCAAGTTCAATCATATGAGTGGAATCAGATCAAGTTCAATAGTTTTTTATCTAGATTGGACGATTTCATTTTAGATTAGCAAATAATTCTACCTTTCACGTAATCAGATCAAGTTCAATAGTTTCAGATCAAGTTCAATAATTTTTTATCTAGATTTGGCAATTTCATTTCAGATCAGCAAATAATTCTATCGTTCACGTAATCAGATCAAGTTCAATCATATGAGTGGAATCAAATCAAGTTCAATAGTTTTTTATCTAGATTAGGCAATTTCATTTCAGATCAGCAAATAATTCTACTTTTCACGTAATCAGATCAAGTTCAATAGTTTTAGATTAAGTTCAATAGTTTTTTATCTAGATTGGGCGATTTCATTTCAGATCAGCAAATAATTCTACCTTTCACGTAATCATATCAAGTTCAATCATATGAGTGGAATCATATCAAGTTCAATAGTTTTTGATCTAGATTGGGTGATTTCATTTCAGATAAGCAAATAATTCTACCTTTCACGTAATCAGATCAAGTTCAATAGGTTTTTATTTAGATTAGGCGATTTCATTTCAGATCAGCAAATAATTCTACTTTTCACATTCAATTCCTATTGCTGCTATTCTACCCCAAAATATAAAAGAAAAGATTTCAACAGCCGTGGTATCAAACCCACATATTGGGAAGGAATTTAATCCAGGAATAACGATAGGGTTGAATTTGAAAGGTTACCGAATTAAAAGATTGTATGACTCAGAGTTGGGTTGACCAATGGGCGGTTTAAAGAACTTGCCCTTAATATCCCAAACTGTGATTTTTTTTGTTTCCAAATGTTTTGACTCGGACAAGGTTTTAAAAATCATCAATTTGGATCATAATCACCCGATTCGAATTGAATATCAGCAAGGCCGTTCCAATTCTCTACATATATTGGAAACCGACGGTTCGCTTCCGGCTTGATAGAACTTTTCGGTTCAAATGATGAACTAATCTACCAGCCTTTGACTTTAAATATTTGTTTTATCTTCATATTTTATTTGATAATAGGGATAGAGTCGGCCCCACCGCCTTTAAAATATTTATTAACCCAAGGGCCTCTTGATATAAAAGTCTCATAGACATTCATGATCCACACAACCACGTGAGCTCTTGTGGCTCAATCTCTTATGTTTACTCACCTGTCCCTCACCCCTTTTTATAGCCCTTGTACCCTCACCCTTTTGACATGGGTAAGCACGTGAGAGATGGAGAGAGCGGTTTGACTCTGAAGAAGCTTTGATTTTTAGATGACATCAAAATCAACCTTTTTATAAAATTATTTAAAAATTATTTAAAATGAAACTTTTTAAAAAATAAAGCTTCTTACGAACTAACTTTTAGATTCAAAATGTCATAAGAATATATTCTTTGTATATTTTAAATTTTTTGAATTGATTTAGATGGTACGACAAATAATTTCAGTGTCGCGTTGGTTTTAATTAAGACATATTTCTTTATTCATTTTGATAACTAAGATAGGAAAGATGAATTGTTGAATGTAAAGTGAATTTAACGAACAATAAACAATTAAATATGAGATATGTTCTCAGTATTCATATATTTTTATATAATAATAAAAAACTATAATGCAATACAACTATTTTAAATAAAAAATAAAAAAATTAATTTTTTAAGAAATTTTGATTATTTTTTGAAAATTTTTTAACGTAGGATCTAGCCGATTCAGCCAATTCTCCTATCCAAACTGTTGATCCAACTCAATTTTCCAAATCCGGATCACCAGTCCATTTTTTTAAAGGGAAAATATCTATATACCCCTATTTTTAGGTTTCACTTCACAATAGACCTATGGTTTTAAAAGATATCTTAGGGCATAAAATTATAGATTTTATTTTTTTTGACCCCTTAACTAAGTTAAACCTGTTTTTTAAAGCCAAACAAATCTAAAAAAAACATGCCTATGTCAACGATAAATTTGATAGCCAAACCCATGTTGCATGTTTTCTCTCTCCCCATCTGCCAACGATAAATTTTGGGTGCTTTCTCTCTCCCCATTTGCCAACGATGAATTTGATAGACAAATTGCAAAACCCAATTCGACTGCAAACCCATATGAAACATCTAATTTTACTGCTATTTTGGGAACCTTTTAAGAGAATGTTTTTTGATAAACATATATATACTGGTAACTGGAAATATTTACTAAAGCTTTGTGCTCCATCTCTCTGTTATCTATTTAATTTTAAATGTTTATGTTGCAGAGAAATAGTTGGGTGTAAAGAGAGAGTAGGAGATAGGGGATAGAAGAAAAAAATTGGGAAATACGGAAAAAGAGAGAAGATAGGGAGAGAAAAAAAAAGAGGAAATATAAGGGGAGAGAGAGGGGGGTTTGGGAGATCGAGAAGAGATTGGGACGAGAGAGAGAGAGGGGAGAGAAAATAATAGGAAATACGGAGAGGGAGAGGATTGGGAGAGAAAAATAATGAGAAATACGGAAAGAGCGAGGACTAGGAGGGAAAAAATAGTGGAGAGAGAGTGAGAGACATGGGTAGAGAAAAAGAATAAGAAATACGGAAAGAGAGTTTGGGAGAGAAAAAGAATGGGAAATACGGAAAGAGAGAGAAGACTCGGAGAGAAAAAACAGTGAATTATAGAAAAAAGAATAGGAAATACAAAATGATATAGATGACTGAGAGAAAAAAATAGTAGAATACGAAAAGATGGAGAATTGGGGGAGAAAAAAATAGGAGAATACGAAAAAGAGAAAGGTTTAGGAGATGGGAAGAGAGAGAAGGGTTTATAAAAAATATATTTTTTAAATTTGACTGGAGAAGAGAGAAAGTGAGAGACACAAGACGAGAGAAAGACAAGTTTGGAATATACAAGTGAAGAGAGAGCAATGCTTGGGTTTAAAAAGATCATGTTTTTCTCATATTTGTTTAAGTTTAAAAATAGATTTAAAGAGGTTACGGGGTTAAAATATATATTTTAAAACAAAAGTTCATCAAGACCTATGATATTTTATGAAATCTTGAGTTTATCCATCGAGAAGATTATTTTGAAAGTTTGAATTTATCAAGAGATATAAAAGTACTTCTTTTCTTTAGAACCTCGGACTTGTTCACTGCGAGAATGTTATCCGGTCGTGCGGCGATTAACGGCTAGAGTAGCTTCTTTGAAAATAACGCAGCGGATCTATAAGGCACCGAATATTATTTGATTTTCCACCGAAGATGTTAAAGCGCAAACAAACAAATCTCTCTCGCTCTGTCTCCTCTCCCGCTAAGTTTGCGTTGCTGCCTTGAATATGGAGGGGAGCTCTTTAAATAGAAAAATTACTGGATTGTAGTATCTCTCTTTAACCAGGGAGAGTAGTTTTTTGGGAAAATAACCAGAGAGAGTAGTTCGAGAGAGAGTTTAGGCCTGCTGCTTGAGAGAGGTTTAGAGAGAGAGAGTTTTTTAGGCCCTGCTACCTACCTTGTTTGTTGCGCAGAGAGAGAGAGGGGACATGGCGAGGAGATTTCAAGGGAAAGTGGCGATCGTGACAGCATCGACTCAGGGAATAGGGTTCAGCATCGCCGAGCGCCTTGGCTTGGAAGGCGCCTCTGTTGTTGTCTCTTCTCGTAAGCATGTACGCTCCTGTTTTATGAGATCACTCTAAATTACTTCTCCATTCCTTCTGTTTGAAGTATTTCCTAAAAACACAAAATTTCGATCGTTCTATTGCTTCATTCTTGTAAATAAAAGCATGAATTCATGGGAAATTACACATTGAATTTTGCAGAAGAATGTGGAGGAGGCAGTAGGGAAGCTCAAAGCTAAAGGGATTGAAGTGCTAGGGGTTGTTTGTCATGTGTCTGATGCCAAACAGAGGAAGAATCTCATTGATCAAACCATTCAGGTAATTCCCTCTTTCTTTTCTATTTTGTTATTTTCCTTATCAATTTAAGATGATCACCGGTTTGGTTGGGAATTAGGTCTTCATGATCAGTTAAGCATTTGGTCTTAATGGTTGTGTTCGAATTGGTAATCTATCTCATGGATGTAGATTTTGCAGTTTCCTATTTGTCCATCTATAAGTACGCACACAAATTACCTTTTGTTAGTGTGGTTGATAGCTACTTGTTTTGTAGGATCAAAATGGTTAATCGTTTTTTCTTTATTGGTCCTTTATTTTTTTTCCCATCATAGTGAGGGTCAATATTTAAGCTGTTCTTTTAACAGTTCTCAATTTGTCACTCTTTTATTTTGATGACATGTCCATGGGTGTCAGATGCATTGCTTATACACATGGGTTCATCTTGATATTATTGAATCTAGAGAAATTGTAGATGGGATTGTAAGCCGGTTTTTCAGCATTGAGAGTGTGGCAGACCACCATAAGGTGCCTTTTAAAAATTGAAGCTTTTCTATCTATGTATATATATATATATATAGAAAATGATAGAGAACGCCTGCTCGCGTATGGTTGTGGAGTGCGCCCAACGGTCAAAGATGAAATGGGGCTCAACGAATGGCTTAGATTTGAACCCATTCAAACTGAGGTTAATAAATGGCATACCATTTCCCCATGGCTTTTGACAGCCTGACAGTACCGGGACTGACACCCAATACCCTCTCCCTTTTTCCTCTCTTTCTCTATATGCTTCCTCCATTCTCTCTCTCTCTCTCTTTATGCTCGCTACCATTCTCCCTTTACGCTCTCTCCATTCTCCACCATTCTCTCTCGCAACCTCTATCCTCCACGTTTCTCTCTCTATGCTATCTCCATTCTCCACCATTCTTTCACTCCCCCTACCTCTGTCCTCCACCAATATCACTCTCTCTCTATGCTATCCTCCATTCTCCACCATTCTCTCTCTCTCTCAACCTTTGTCCTCCATTTGCCTTACCTCTCTCTCGTTTTTCCTCCGCCATTCTCTAACCTCTCTCTCTCTCTCTCAATTTTTATCCACCATTCTCTAACCTCTCTCTCTCTCAAACGAGGTTCCATATCTCTCTCTATCTTTCTAGAATGGAGATAGCGTAGAGAGAGAATGGTAGAGGATAGAGGTTGAGAGAGAGAATGGTGGAGAATGGAGATAGCGTAGAGAGAGAATGGTATAGAGCATAGAGAGAGAATGGAGGATAGCATATAGAGAGAGAGGAGAGAGGGAAAGGGTGCCGGGTGTCAGTCCTTGTACTGTCAGGCTGTCAAAAGGCATGGGGAAATGGTATGCCATTTATTAACCCCAGTTTGAATGGGTTCAAATCGAGCCATTCGTTGAGCTCCATTTTATCTTGATCATTGGGTGCACTCCAAAACCATACGCGAGCGGGCATTCTCTATCATTTTCCTATATATATATATATATTTGTTTTGTTTTGAAAGCGCAATTAGGTGTTATTTTGGTACACAACCTTTTTTGCTGCCTCTATAGAGTCATGTAATTTAGTGCCTGAGCAACAAAGGTCTCTTGCCATCAGGTACAGAAACCCACCTGAACAACGGGCTAGAATTTGATAGTATCACGACATATAGAATCGTTTACGTTAGTAAAGCATGGAAGATAAGCATGTGGTACTTTTCTCTCACACCATCAATGGACTAGATTGGTCTTAATAGCATCCCTTGCATGAGACAAGCAACTCAACCCCTTTTAAAATCCTTAATATATATCTGCATTTATTCTTTTATTTTTCGCCCATATATTTTCTTATTTGGGGAATTTTGCATTTGGTTGCAAGAGGATAGCCCCTCAAAGAAGCTTATTTATTTCTTTATTTTTCAACCATATATTTTTTTTTATTTAAGGAAGTTTGCATTTGGTATTGCAACCAAATCATAGGCATCTCAACTTAACTATGGATGATGGAATCTAATTATAAGCGGCAGAGAACAAGAGTGAATGCATATCAAAGAAATAGTGCTGGATGAAAACATGTTATGTTGGAGATCGGATTTTTTACCTATTCAATAAAATTCTCAATGATCTTATGGTATCTAAGGTAGCTCTTTAGCTATAAATTTTTTAGTACGTGCAAATGCTTGAGCCCACATGTACCATGCAGTTCATTGGTTTGATGGACTCAAAAACTTGCATGGTCGAAGTGGGCTGGAAAAGTATACAGATGGCGAGGAAGAATAAGAGGACAAGTAGGCAAACTTGCTGAAGAATCAGAAGTAGAAGGATATTGATGCAGGAAGGGAAGGTGGGAAATTAAATTCACCATTTTCCTGAACTTTAAACAAGTAAAATCAGCAATAATGGAGAAGCAATATAGCTGTAAATCAAGCTAAGAGAAGAATAACTTTCTTCTTCACAAAATAAAATTCATTTCAATAACATAAGCCTCCCAAAATTTGACATCCAACCTTTTATAAGTCTATGCCTAAAATTAATTTGAGATCTAAGTAAACATTTAAGATTGACATATGCCTAAACAATACTAAAATTTCAGATAAACCACCGTGAAGAGTAACACACGAACGGTAACGCATGAGCAGTAGCCGTGAACAATAATATGAACAGTAATGCATAAGTAGTACCCATGAATAGTAATATGAAATAAAAATAAAAATATAAGAGTAAATAAAACTAAAAAATATAAAAATATAAAAAAGACTCCCTAGGAAACTTAAAACCCATAAAAATAAATCCTAAACTAGAATTAAAATATACATCTCTTGAAATTAAACATAAATTAGAAATTAAAATAATTTTGTCCTGCATCATTCTCCTCTAGTTAGAGAAAACTTGTCATCGAGTTTTGAAGTGTGCTACGATGAATTCAGCATCAAAATCACCTTCGTCAACCTTCTTCTTCTTTATTGGCTCAAAGACTATTCGTGGTAAAAAGAAATCCTCAAGAAAACTTCATATGTGTATTGAGAAATCAATGTAAATTTATCAAGCACGAGTATCCTTGAAATTTCCTTGAAAATCATGTAAGATACTCCAAACTTAATTTTCTAGTCTTTAGAGGCTTTCTCGACATTTATTCATTACTCCCTGAATCTAGGGTTACAATTTGCAGATTCTAAGTTGACCATGCTTCCATTGCATTAGTTTGATTCCATTGCCCTAAATCTCCTAAATGTTCCACCTCTTTGATATCCTTGTATCATCATCTTTTGTTAGAGATATGTTCGATCACGAAATCTTGTTCATCAGCAAAATAAGACCTTTATTGAAGGTGAGATCTTCTGGTTCCTTATCAAAACTAGGATCACTATCAAAGATAGGACCTTCTATTGATTCATTGAATCCAATTAATGATTATATCCTTTTTGTTTTTATCAAAATTATGCTCCCGTTGATGCCATCGCACATCGAACCCATCAATGTAGTTTAGCATGCTATCAATCTATTCCCACTTAGACTTGGACTCTGATTTGTGCCATTCTCCATAAAACCCTAATGATTTGGACCTATTCCCGTAGATTCCTCTTTGTTTAGGGAATGTTGTGGCTGGCCTCACTTTGCGTAGCAATAGCTTTGTAACTCTCTCCATCAAGTTGTTGATTTCCTTGCACAGTTGGATTAGATTGGCATCCATATGGCTAGGACCTCCACGACCAACTATTGCAATATCTTACCATCATTGAACCTTGCTCTGATCCCACTTAATGCAGGAAGGGAAGGTAGGAAATTAAATCCACTCTTCTCCTGAACTTTAAACAAGTAAAATCAATGGGGAAATAACATAGGTGTAAATCAAGCCAAGAGAAGAACTGTCTTCTTTCATAAAATAAAATTTATTCCAATGATATAAGCCTCCCAAAATTTGGCATCCAACCTTTTATGAATCTATGAAACCCAAAAATTAACCCGTGATCCCAGTAAATATTTAAGACTCTAACATACCCCCAAACAATACTAAAATTCCATACATGTGAACAATACCCGTGAACAATAATATTAACATACCTGTGATGAACAATACCTGTGAACAACAACTTGAACAATACCCGTGAATAATGAATAAAAAATAAAAATATAGAAAAAACCCTAGAATACCCAGAAAACTTAAAAACCCTAAAAATAAATCGGAAAAATAGAATTAAAATATACATACCTTGAAATTAAACAGAAATTAAAAAGTAAAACACTTTTGTCTTGCATCAAGCTATTAGGCCGAAGTGGCCAAAGAGATAAAGGGAGTATTGAAGAAACAACATGGGTGGCCAACAAGGAAGAAAAGAGGCGGAAATGTGGAATAAATGACACCATAAGAATGATATACTGAAAGATGGGGAGATGTAGTGTAAATTTCAAAAAGAAATTGAAAGAATTCCAATCTTGACGTTCAAGGTTGATCCCAAGGGCGTTAAATTACTAGGACCTACTCTTCTATTTGTAGGTTTTTTATGTTCTTTACAATTTTTTTCAAAAGTTATCTGTTTCCTTTAATAGGAACTTAGGACAGAGATTGTAAATGTCTTAGGGAATTACAATGATTTTTCTTTCCAATTGATAGGATTTTGATTGCCAAATCCATTTGATTGGGATTTAGGTTCTTAGACCCCATTTAGATAGGGATTTGCTGGGATAAAATAAAAGGAGAATAGGTTGTAGAAAATGGGGAGCATTAAGATATGGGAAAAACATTAAGGGTCTCACCGAAGGTCGCGATTCCGATTCAGAATCCTAATTCCGCTAATTCCGATAAGGAATCTTCATGGAATCTGTTTTCGTAAATTGGGAATCTCAATTTCTTATTTTAGGAATCTCGATTCCAATACTTGTAGAATATCATTTCTAATATTTATTGGTTCTCGATTATGCAATTGTTGAATTTTGATTCTACATTTGTTGAATCTGGATTCCACATTTTTTCCATCAATTTAGAAACACAAACATAGGGCCATGAACTACAAAATAAACAATTTAGAACCTATGATAAGCATTAAATTAGAAA